TCAGGGCCCGGGGAGGGCCAGGGACTCAGGCCCACACCTGCTGGGGCCCCGGCACAAGACTCGGGGCTCCCCTGAAGCCACAGGGCCCTCCTGTGCTCAAAAATGACAGCTTTCTGTAAGGTGTGGGGACGCCTCCAGGGAAATTTGGGTCCTTAGAAAAAGAGAAGGGACAAGAAATGCTTTGGTCACCGTCCTGATACCCAGAGCAGAGCAGAGCTTTCTCAGGACAGGGCAAAAAGCTGGTTAAAACACTGCACTTGTGCCTGATGCAAAACTGGCTTCCGAGGTGAACCAGGAGTCGCTGAATAAATATTCAAGGCATCCTTCAGTTCTTAGGATAAGAGTGTGGCAAAAAAAAAAACACCAACTTCTCCTTTCCCCCTGCTTGACCAGATGCGGCTTTGATTTGCAGGCCAACGGTGCTGCCAACCGGAAGAGGGTGGTTGGGGGCCCTGGAGCTGTCCCCCACCCCCCACCCCCCCCGGCCACAAGAGGCTTTGGTCTGTCACATGTCCCGCCAGCCCTGGGGACCTCAGAAGCTGAAGAGGTCATCCTGCTCGGCGCCGCTGCTGTCAGGCTTGTCCCAGTCGACAGGTGAGAGGCACTGGGCGTAATGGATGTCCTGTGCTGTCAATCCAGTGTCCAGGACCTGAGGGTTCGTCCGAGACTGGGCAAGCCTGGAAGGCAGAGCCGTGTGAGCCGAGGGTCCCCGAAGGGGCTGGCAGGGGCCTGAGCAGCCAGTCCAGGGTCAGAGTGAGAGGGCAGGGATGGGAGAAGGCCAGGACACCGGGGCCAGAAGGGAAACCCCAGGATGTCAGGAGACGTGGAGCCTCTGACCAGAGTCTACCCTTGAGGGCTAACGGCTCAGAACACTGGGGGGCAGTGGCATTCCCGCCACGGAGAGAGGGGCTCCACACCCCTGGCTCCACCAGGAAAGGGCAGGGAAGGGCCGTGCTGGCGAGGTCAGTGAGGGGCATGTGCGGGACGGAGGCAGTTCAACTAGGAGACTACTGGCTAGAACTGTGTTCAATACAGTGCTGTTCAAAACACAGACTTAAAAAGGAAGAGAACCCAAACATCCAAAGAACAGGGGGGAGTTAAGTAAATTACGACTCAGGTCCTTAGAAGCAAGTGAGGGAGCAGTGAACAAATGAGGTGTTTACAAGGAGTTGTTAACAGCCTGGGGAAACACTCCTGGTATGTCAATGTTAGGTGAAAATCGGGATCCCCAAATGCAAATACCATGAGCTGATCAATGCCCCCCCCCAAAAAAAAAAGAAAAAAGAAAAAGAAAAAAAAAGTGTATATGTATAGGATTAGCGTGAATTAAGCCCAAAAGTCTGGGCTGTGGGATTATAGGATGGTGTTCTTTCCTGTTTAATGCTCTGCTGATTTTCGAAGTTGTTAATAAAGGGCACATGATACTTAAGTAATCTGGAAAAAGCGAACGGAAGATTTTCTTAAAATGAGGGGGTTGCAGTCAGTTAGTGAAGTTAGTGAAGCAGGGAGGACAGTGAAAAGAATGTCTGCCTCCACGAAAGGGCCAACCGTGCTGACCCCCCCTCTTGCCTGGGCTGCGCCGAGGGGTATCTACCAGGTTCCAGCAGGAAGGGGCTGGGGAGGAAGCAGAGGGCTGCAGGGGGCTGCCCAGGGTCCCCAGGGAGACAGGGGGTCCTGACTGCCCAGGCCCAGTGCTCAGAACCCTGAGCTGCCCAGGCCTCTCTTCAGCTCAGCCTTCTCAGTGCCATGTCCCCAAGCTGAAGGTAGTCATGGCTACAGGGAGGGCCCCTGGGAAGATGGGGAAATGCCACCACCCTCAGGCAAGACCAAAATACCTCCTTGCTGTGCCTGACATCCCTCCTCTGTGTATCGCTCTACGGGCTTAATTAAGCATTGCCCCCTCCCTGCCCCTTTCCACAACTGCAGAACCTCTGGAGGGAACAAAGCCTGCAAAAAGCCAGGTTCTGAAGGCTACACCAGGTGCAGGGCAAGGAAATCAGCCTGAGCTGCGGAGTGTTCAGTTCAGCTCAGGCTGTGGTAGAGAAGCCACAAGGAATAGCTTTTGATTCAATAGCAGGGGCTTTTTAGCAGACACAGGCAACCCCGGATAGTGAGTTCCCCATCCCTGGAAGTATCCGAGTTGAGATTTTTGCTCTGGAGAAGATCAGAGTTCATGTTCTCAGACAGGCAAAGGACCCCGGAGAGCAGCCCACACCTCCTTCCCCAGCATGAGGAGCCCAGCTAACGTTACCTTGAAAATGCTTCATCCAGGCCGTCATCCAGCTCCTTGGGGAAAACAAAGCAGGAGATATGAACCCTCAGTGGGGGAGCACATGCTCACAGCCAGGGTGTCCCAGCCCTGGATAAGCCACAGGGACTCTGGACACAAGCATAGGGGTCTGGCGGGTGCCTGGGGAAAGAGGCACAGGCAGACCCCCACCTGGCGACTGCCACGTGCATCTCAACCCAGGGACTCAAACCTGGGATGCGGAACAGGAAAAAGAGCACAATTGGGTGGGTACAATTCCCAGCTCTGCCACTAGTCGAGTGACACCTTGGGCAAGTTGCAGCTCCTCTTTGGGACTCAGCTTTTCCTTCCGTAAAATGAGTGGGCTGGATTGGATGAGGTCTATGGCTTTCAAGTTCCAAGAGCAAGAGGGTAGGGAAGACAGTGTTCTTGCTTTCATCCACTTCCAAAAGCCATGCCAGAATTCCAAGCTCATGAGGGATTAAATGATGGCAGGAATCCCAGAACCTAGGTGGGAAAACACTGGCAAGGGCTCCCTGCAGCCTTCCTGAGTGGATGGGTGGGTGCCAAGGGTGGATCCCAGGCAGCAGAGAACAGGTTCGCGGTGCCTACAGGTGGCCCCCAACAGGGACCAGGATATGAGTTTTCAAGTCTGCCAACATTCCAGATTCTTTAAAATTAAACAGACATGACAAAATAACGATTCTGCAATGGATTCTAGACGAGGAAAAGGACACAGGGAGGCGGTGGGGGGGGACACGTGGAGAAATGTGACTATGGCCTGTAGATTACATAACAGTATCAGATTGATGTTAATGATTTTGATCACTGTAACTCAGTGATGTTAGATGCTGACATTTGGAGAATTTGGATGAAGGGTGAACAGGAATGTTTTGTACTGTTTTTACAACTTTTTGTAGTTCTAAAATTATTTTCAGATGAAAAAAAATTTTAACTTTTGATAAAAAAAAAAAAAAAACACCCAGGTTCCTCTGGGAGACTCTGCAGGCAGAGGTCATCATCTTTTTTGAAGGGATGAAAAAGCTGAGACACAGAGAGGTCAGGGGGCTTGCCTGGAGTCACAGAGCGAGTCAGAGGCCAACTGCTGACCGCCAGGCCTCAGACTCCTCCTTTAGATGGTGGGGCAGGGGCGGGTGTCAGGAGCAAACTGTGCCCACACCAAGAACAAGGGAGCCTTTAGCTGGTCCTGTGGTGGGCCGACTATGGACGCTCAGACCAAGAGGCTGGCCATTGTGAGGAGACAGCTGTGCTGGGAGCCAAGCCTGCTGGGGAGGCAGCCCCGAGTTCAAAGGGGACATTGTTTGCCCCCCACCCTGGGCCTGGGTGCTGCTGGGCTGGGTCTGGCCCTCCCAGAGGACTGAAGTCATGCGTGCCAGGGCCCAGGTCCTGGAGCAGCCTTAGGCCTCAACCAGGATCAGGCTGAGGCTCGCTGTGAGATCCCTATGGGGTCCCCAGGCCACATGACCACTCACCCAGACAACGCTGCTATTGTTCAAGGCTTGAGGCCTCGGTGCCTCATCCATGTTAGTGGTATTAGCGCTGACTGTGGACAGCGGGGCCTTGGCCGTCTCTTCCAAGTCCAGCAGGTTCCCAGTGGCAACCACTAGGAGGGGTCCAGTCAGGTGTGTCAGTGGGAGGAACCGCCTGTTTCCAAGCCCCATCTCCCAGCCCGATCCTGGAGCCTCCTGGGCTGTTGTGGTCTTGACTCCCTCCTCAGGCATGGCCTTCCCAGGCCCATCAAGCAGACCACCCAGAGCCCCACCTGGGCACCTCCCGAAGCAGCTGGACGGTGAGAACCTCTACCCAACTAACATTTTAGGTTGAAACTTTTACATTCGGAACAGGTGTTAAGTTTTGTTAAGCGATCACATAATAAGATGCTAAATGTATACAGAGAGATGTATACATACATTTATATAGCTGCACAGGAACATATTTGCAAGAACATGCACCAAAATGAGCAATCTTCCCTTCTAACCACATGTTCTAATTTATCTATAATGAACATGTATTATTTATTTAACAATAAAACACAAATAAAAAACCAAGGGTTTGCCCCAGCCCAGGAGGGAGGGGGGCCCTCAGGATGAAGGGCAGACCCAGAGACATGCAGCTGATTCTGGTCCCACCCCCTGCCCAGGACTCACAGCTCTTCAACGATGGGGTGTTGTCACGGAGGCCCCCACCCAGGACGTCCCCTCCTTCTTGGCTGGCTTTCTCCCTCTTCTCCTTCTCTGTGGGACCAAGGCACAGGGCGTTGGAGCCCCACTCCCAGCACTCGCTGGGCAGGGGAGGTCTGCGGCC